ATTACCATTACCGTTACCATTACCATTACCATTACCATTACCATTGCCATTGCCATTACCATTGCCACTACCACTACCATTCCCATTCCCGTTCCCGTTCCCATTACCATTACAATTCCCATTCCCATTCCCATTCCCATCCCCATTCCCATTCACATTACAATTACCATTACCATTACCATTACCATTACCTTTACCACTACCATTACCATGACCATGACCATGACCATTACCATGGCCATGGCCATTGCCATTGTCATTGACATTCCCATTTCCATTGCCATTGCCATTACCATTACCAGTGCCGTTGCCATTGTCATTGTCATAGCCATTGCCAGACGCTACCCCGTTACCATTGCCATTACCATTACCATTACCGTTACCGTCACCATTACCATTACCAGTACCATTACCATTACCATTGTCATTACCATTACCATTACCATTGCCGTTGCCATTGCCATTAGCCACGACCATTACCATTGGCAGTACCAGTACCATTCTCATTCCAATTCCCATTCCCGATACCGTTACCATTACTATTCACAATACCATTACCACTGTCATTGCCGTTGCCATTACCATTACCATTACCATTACCATTACCTTTACCCTTACCCTTTACCTTTTACCTTACCCTTTACCTTTACGGCAACGGCAATGGCAATGGCAATTGCGATTCCCATTTCCGTTACCACTACCACTACCATTTCCATCCCTGTTGCCGTTCCCATTCCCATTCCCTTTCACATTCCCATTCCCATCCCAATTCACATTACCATCCCATTGCCATTGCCATTGCCATTCCCATTACCGTTGCCATTGTCTTTGCCATTGCCATTGCCAGTCGCTACCCCGTTACCATTACCATTACCATTACCACTACCATCACCATTACCAGTACCATTACCATTACCCTTACCCTTCCCATAGCCATTGCCCTTAGCCACTACCATTACCATTGCCATTACCACTACCATTACCATGACCATTGTCATTACCATTACCCTTACCCTTACCCTTACCCTTACCCTTACCCTTACCATTACCATTACCATTACCATTACCATTACCATTGCCATCGCCGCTGCCTTTACCATTACAATTCCCATTCCCATTCCCATTCCCATCACCATTGCCATTACCACTACCGTTACCAGTACCATTACCACTACCATTACCATTACCATTACCATTGCCATTACCATTACCACTACCACTACTACCATCTCCATTCCCGTTCCCGTTCCCATTACCATTACAATTCCCATTCCCATTCCCATTCCCATCCCCATTCCCATTCACATTACAATTACCATTACCATTACCATTACCATTACCATTACCATTCCCATTCCCAGTCCCATTCCCATTTCCAGTTCCATTGCCATTGCCATTGCCATTACCATTACCAGTACCAGTACCATTACCATTACCTTTATCTCTACCATTACCATTTCCATTACCATTACCATTGCCATGGCCATTACCATTGTCATTGCCATTGCCCTTGACATTGCCATTACCACTACCACGACCATTGCCATTGCCATTGTCATTGCCACTGCCAGTCGCTACCCCGTTACCAGTACCATTACCGTTCCCATTACCACTACCAGTACCATTACCATTACCACTGTCACGTATTACCATTACCATTACCATTACCATTACCAGTACCATTACCATTACCATTACCATTACCATTACCATTACCGTTACCATTGCCATTGCCATTGCCATTGCCATTGCCATTTGAGGATTTCAGTGGGAATCATTCAGTGGAAGGTTTCAGTAGGCATCCACATGTGGAGGATTTCAGTAGGAATCATGCAGTGGAGGGTTTCGATAGGAATCCTTCTGTCGAGGATTTCTCTATGAATCCTTATTGTGGGGGCGTTCAATAGGAATCCTTCTAGGGGGGAGGGCAGATGAGGCCACGTCGCATTCCTTTTTTTTTCGCCGCCGACCCACCCCCCCCAAAAAAAAAGAAAACGCGAATCTCAAGTCCCTTTTTTATTGTTTTTTTGGGGGGGACACCAGGAGAAACAAAAAACAGAGAGGGAGGAGGAGGAGGAGGAGGAGGAGAGGGAGGAGGAGGAGGAGAAGGAGGAGGAGGCGGAGGAGGAGGAGGAGGAGGAGGAGAACGACGACGACACAGAGCAGAGTTTGCACAGAAACAGTCGCGAACTCAGCGCGAAAGCCTCGCGCGCGCGCTTTTGAACCCCTGCGACTCCACAATCCCCCGTTCTCGAGGAGGAGGGGGGGGAGAATGGACGAGAAATCGGAGAAGGAGGGCTTAGAGAGGGCCGAAACGGGGGTTTCAGAGGGCGAGCTTGAAGAGGAACTAAGGGCCGTCTCCCACAGAATGGCCTCAAAGACCTGCAACATGCTCCCACGAGACCTCCAACAGACACCCAGAAAGACCACAAAGGGTCTCAAAAGGCCCCCAGTAACCGCCGAAGGCTTCGAAAAGGCTCCCCGGAAGCCTCCAAGGCCCCAAGAGATTCTGGAGCAGACCCGGCTGCTGCATGCTCGTGGTGCAAAATGCCACATGTTACGGTCTTGTACGGAGAACGCTTGTCCAGGGCAGTCCTTTTGCGTACACAGTCTTTCGGGTATATC